AGGAGGTGTGGGGGGGAGATCAAGGAGAGGAGGTGGGGGGGAAGTCCAAGGAGAAGAGGTGTGGTGGGGGGAAGACCAAGGACACCACCCACATGTGCGTGTGTGTGCGTGTGTGTGAGACAGAGAGCGGGGGGCGGGGGATGGTGGAGGAATGAACAGCAGGTGCTTGACCACAGCTTCTTACAGGGAGGCCCTGGACACCTCTATCTGCTCAAGAACAAGGTGGCCACCTTTGCCAAAGTGGAGAAGGAAGAGGACATGATCCAGTGAGAGGCTGGGTGCCCCAGGCCGGGGAAGGGCTGGAGGCAGAGTCCAGGCCCTGGGTGCCTGTCCCCTGCCACTGGGTGACCCACCTCTCTCCACCAGCTTCTGGAAGCGGCTGAGCCGCCTGATGAGTAAAGTGAACCCAGAGCCGAACGTCATCCACATCATGGGCTGCTACATTCTGGGGAACCCCAACGGGGAGAAGGTACAGTGACCCCCCCCCCAGGCCTACCCAGGCCTCTGGAGACCCAGGCGTGGACAGGGTGGGACCTTCCATTCTTCCTGCAGTTGTTTTTCCTTCCCCCTTGCATTCCCGAATCCCTTATGCCTGGGCTCAGCCAGGTTTAGGGGGTCTGAGAGAAGAGGGTGGGCCCTGCTCCCCGTCTCCCCCCTATACTCCTTCACCATCTCTCTGCTTCCAACTCATGGCGTCTTCCTCCTTCCAGCTGTTCCAGAACCTCAGGACCCTCATGACTCCTTACAGGGTCACCTTCGAGTCCCCCCTGGAGCTCTCAGCCCAAGGTGAGTGACCCAGGCTGGGCCTGAGCTCTGGGCCCACTTTGGGGCCACGTCAGGGTGGGGTCCAAGGCTGCCGGCCAGGCCTGAGCCTCCTGCCCCTCCGCCCAGGGAAGCAGATGATCGAGACGTACTTTGACTTCCGCTTGTATCGCCTGTGGAAGAGCCGCCAGCACTCGAAGCTGCTGGACTTTGATGATGTCCTGTGAGGGACAGGCCTCTGCCCAGCCACCTTCAGGCCGCTCCCTCTGCACGGGGACCTGGGGCTGGGCCACCTCTTGCTCCCCGGGACTGTTCGGCTCTGGTCTTGCCTGGAGCCACTTCAGGGCACCTCAGACGTTGCTCAGGTTCCCCCCTGGGGCCCGGTCCTCGCGCACCCATGGCCACAGAGGCCGCAGTCCCTGGGGGCCGGGAGGATCCCGCCCCGTGGCCAGTGGATGCCCAGTGGCCAGGCACCGACCGGCCATGCCTCGCCTGGAGGCTCGGCTTTGGGAATCCCCTCCATGGGGTTCATAGAAATAAGTGCAATTTCTACACCCCCGAAACAATTCAAAGGGAAGCAGCATTTCTTGTTAACTAGTTAAGCACTATGCTGCTCGTGACAGAGCAGGCCCCGCAGCCCGGCAGCCCGTGTGTGTTCAGGACCCTCTCTGCACCCCATCCCTGCCGTATTCATCACCAGCACCAGGGTGGCCCGTCTGTGTGGGGCCGGCGTTGCCGGGCTGCTGAGCCCGGCTCTGTCTACACCGGCTGAGTCTCCAATTGTCTGTGCTCTCACTCCCCCTCCTCCCGCCACGCCCATCCCCGCTTACTCAGACCTCACCGCGTCTGGGCAGCAGGAGGGAATGGTGCACCATCCCCGAGGAGGCGCCGAGTTGTGCCCGCTCCCATCCCCCTCCCGAGCCCACCCAGCACTCATTGCTGCTGTTGAGTTCAGCTTTTACCAGCCTCAAACTGGAGGCTTCATCCCAGCACAGAGGCCTGGGGCTTGGCAGGGGCCCGGCTGGGGCAGGCCCAGGTTTTGAGAACCTTCCAGCACTGCAGTGGGCCCCTGGACCCGGCTGAGTGGCTGGTGGACTTAGGGGCTCCCGACTCGGCAGGGAAGCTCCCAGCTTTGTCCAGGGCCGGCAGGATGGGCTCTCATGTATATAGCTGGGGCCAGGGGGCAGGCCCCCCTTGTGCAGAACCAGGGGTCTGAGGGCACCTGGCTGCGTTCCGGCTGAGGGAGGGCTGGGGCAGGGGCCGGGCTCCGAACCATGTACGATACCCCTCATAGTGACCATTAAACCTGATCCTCCACCGTGGCCGCTGCGTGGGTCTGTCCTGTCCATGCTCTGCAGGGGCCGCCCCAGGCCCAGCGTCTGGCCCCACCTCTGAGGCCGCTGCTGCAGGCCACCTGGCTGGACAGAGTTGGAGCAGGGCCACCCTCAGGGCACAGCTGGCCTGGGACTGACAGGAGCTACAGGAGGGCGGGGTGGGGGCGGGGCCGTGGTCTCAGAGAGGGGCCTCACCAGGTCTGGAGGGGAGAGCCACGGAGTGACCACAGGACCAGATAGTGGCCATTCCCTCAACCTCTGTTGTCCCCAAGAGTCTCTAGGGTCCAAACTGCTACTGGGCAAAGCCAGGTTGGCCACCAGCTGGTTCCTGCCCTGTGGCTGGGGGACGGAGCAGCAGGTAGAAGCTGGGCTAGGGTCAGGGTCGGGGGTCGTTGGTGCACAGCCTGGCACAGCCCAGCAGGCTTGAGGCCCGGGGTGCTGAGGGGTCACACAGCCGCCCGCTACCTGCAGCTCTGCCAGGGCTTTCCAGACAAGGTCCTGGGAGGGGCAGGTTTGGTGCCAGTTTGAACGTATAAAGATGTAGGTGAATACCCAGTGTCTGCGGGCTTTCCGTTACTGAGTTGCCCACGGTATCTGAAAGTGACATGTCGGGAAGTCACGGGGCATCTCAGTGTCCTTTCTGCAAAGTTGATGAGACAAGCCGCCACCGCCTGAAATCTGCTGACGCTGCCACACAGGCCTCGAGGGGTGCTCTTCAAAGTAGGACAGCACGCGAGGCCACCACGTGCCCACACACGTGTTCTTCAAAGGCACGTCTAACGTCACCTGCAGCCCTGAGCTCAGAGTCCCAGAACAGCCCGACACTCCCGGCCCCACCCTAACAGGGACCCGCAGTCCCAGCCTGTCCAGCAGTGCCTGGGCTGCGGTGCGCCATGCCTGTCCCACACGGTCTGGTCCGGAGGGTCTGCTGGAGCCAGGAAGGCCTGGGGATTTTCTTTTTTTTGAGACGGAGTCTCACTCTGTCGCCTGGGCGGGAGTGCAGTGCTGCAATCTCGGCTCACCGAAACCTCCGGCACCTGGGTTCAAGTGATTCTCCTGCCTCATCCTCCCTAGCAGCTGGAACTACAGGTGCACGCCACCACACCCAGCTCATTTCTGTATTTTTAATAGACACGGGGTTTCACCATGTTGGTCAGGCTGGTCTTGAACTCCTGACCTCAGGTGACCCACCCTCCTTGGCCTCCCAAAGTGCTGAGATTACAGGTGAGACCACCACGCCAGGCCTGGGGGGTCTTATGTATGGTTCACAAGCTTCCATTACTCACGCTGACCCCGGGGCGGGACAGGGAGGAGAAGCAGGCTCCAGGAGCAGATGGGAAGTGCCAGCCGGGAGGGGGTGGCCCCACGCAGAGGCAGGCTGCGCCAGGGCGGGGGGCCGGTGCCCAGGGGACTTCGGCTACTCTGCGGCACCCACCCTCGCCTCCCTTGAAATATAAAAACAGCAGTAACAGCCAGAAATAGTCGGAGAAGAAATAAGAAATACAGGAACGATGAAGGCCTTGAGCTTTTCCAGATTGCTGAGGAAAGTGACAGAAACCGACAGGGAAGAGAGCAGATGCGGGGACATCCTTGGAGCAGGACACTGGCCGGTGACTCCATGAAGAACGTCCCCATCCCGTCTTCATCCCACCACGGAAAGGCCAAGGAAAGCAACAAACAGGTTTCCCTGTTTAATCTGAGACAGGGTCTTGCTCTGTCGTCCAGGCCAGGGCTCACTGGGGCTTTGACCTACTGGGCTCAAGCGATTCTCCCACCCCCTCAGCCTCTTGAGTGGCTGGGACTACAGGCACCCCATGCCTGGCTCATTCTTTTGTGTTCCGTGGCGACAGGGTCTCGCTGTGTTGCCCAGGCAAGTCTCGAACTCCTGGCCTCAGGCAATCCTCCTGCCTCAGCCTGTTTGTTACAGCCTTTCTTTGAAGCTAATCTGGTACAGCTCTTAAGTGTGACTGATCAACACACAACCCGTCCAGCCCCAGCCACCCCTGGCAGCTTTTTCTCGGGTGTCTACTGTCCCGCTGTGCTAATCACATGATGGCTTTCCTGGAGGAACCTGATGCTCACGAGGCTTATTGCTAAGCAGAGCTGCAACAGGCCCAGGTGGGCCACGCATCGCATCGATGTGGAGTGTCTCCCGCCACCTGCCTGGACGCACGCTCTACCCAGCAGTCTGGGAACAGCACGGGAGGAGGCCCCACCTGCCCCAGCAACCTGCCTGCCCTGCGCTGGTGGCCGCTCTCAGGTGCAGACGCCCCCACCTGCACGTCCAGGCTCACTACACAACCCAAAGTGACCCGGGCAGCCCCGTGGCCGGACGTGCGCCCGGCACAGCAGCCAACCTTGAGACCTGGAGTGTAGTCTGGGGGGCGTGTGGGGACCTCCTGCCAGGATGCAGGAGCGTCTAAGGGCAAGTGGAGGTGTGATTCCTGTCGTGAGCAGAAGTATGTAGACGTAATCACAGTGGTGGAGGGGCTGCAGTGGCTCCCACACCTGCTGTTAGTGTTGCCTCTGTGTGGGGGGGGGCAGACAGAAAACCTGCCTCTGAAAGGGACAAGGTGGCCGTGGTGACTCCCTACCCCCGTCCTGGTGCCTGCCGGCAGGTGGTCCCTCCTGCCTACCAAATCGCCCATGTCCCCGTGTGCTCTGTCACCCCTGCTTTCTGGCCTGAGGGCTGAGAAGGGAGGTCTGGAGAAACCAGGAGCTGAGAAGTACCCAAAAACCACCCCCCATGTCCTTCAACCCTCAGGTGCACATGGGACCATCAGTGTCTCACGCTAACACACCCAGACAGAACCCACTTGAGTAGCCAACCTTGGTCATTCCCAGAACCGCCACTGGGGGCACACGTGCGGCCAGACAGAGGGTGCCCCAAAATCTTGGAGAAAGAAATTGACCTTGGGCCAACAGCCCAGCGAGGCTGAAAGTGAAACACCAGCGTTCACCATAGGATAAAAGTAAGACTCAGTCGCAAGTAAGATTCAAAACATGACAAACCAGGCCAGGCGCGGTGGCCCACGCCTGTAGTCCCAGCACTTTGGGAGGCCGACGCGGGGGAATCACCTGAGGCCGGTTTGAGACCAGCCTGGCCAACATGGTGAAACCGTCTCTACTAAAAATACAAAAATTAGTCAGGCGTGGTGGCAGGTGCCTGTAGCGGCAGATACTTGGGAGGCTGAGGCAGGAGAATCACGTGCACCTGGGAGATAGAGGTTGCGTGAACTGAGATCACGCCATTGCACTCCAGCCTGGGCAATAGAAAGAGACTCTGTCTCAAAAAAAAAAAAATTACAAACCATAATTCCTCCACACCCAAAGAACTGTGAGAATCCTGGCCAGCAGGGAAGAGGCCATCAGCAGACACGGAGACTGAGAATGTGTTGAAATGGCAAAGACTGACAAAATTGGTTTTTTAAATTTTACTCATTTAAACTTTTTGGGGGGATAAGGTCTTGCTCATCACCCAGGATGGTGTGCATTGGCATAATCCTAACTCACTGTAGCCTTGAACCCTTGAGTTCAAGTGATCCTCCTGCCTCAGCCTCCTGAGTAGCTGACCCCCAGGCAAGCACCACCACCACGCCCGGCTAATTTTTTTTTTTTTTTTTTTTTGTAGAGACAAAGTCTCACTATGTTGCCCAGGCTGGTCCTGAACTCCTGGTCTCAAGTGATCCTCCTGCTCTGGTCTCCCAAAGTGCTGGGATTACAGGTGTGAGCCACCATGCCTGAAGACGTTAAAGTAGCTGTTACAGTAGTGCCCAACTGAGCCACCGTGAGCACTTAAAATGTTAGAATAGAAAGTCTCAGCAAAGGCTGGGCATGGTGGCTCACACCTGTAATCTCAGCACTTTGGGAGGCCGAGGCGGATGGATCACTTGAGCACAGAAGTTTGAAAGAATCTTGGGCAACATGGTGAAACCTCATTTCTGCTAAAGACACAAAAATCAACCACTCACAGTGCCGCCCGCATGCCTGTGGTCCCAGCTACTTGGGAGGCTCAGGAGGGAGGACTGCCTGAGCCAAGGAGTTGACAGCTGCAGTGAGCTATGATCCTGCCACTGCACTCCAGCCTGCGTTACAGAGCGAGATGCTGTCTCAAAAAACAAAAAAAGAAAAGAAAGCCTCAGCAAATAAATAGAAACATGTGAAAAATTTAGAACCAAAAAATACAGTAACCAACATTGAAAAAACGAAACTTCGTTGAGCAGACTCAATAGCAGAACGGCGATGGCAGAGGAAAGAGTCGGTGAACTCGGAGACAGATCAGCAGGGATTATCCCATCTGAACAACCAAAAAAAGATTGAAAGAATAAGTGGGCTGGGCGTGGTGGCTCATGCCAGTAATCGCAGCACTTTGAAAGGCCAAGGCAGATGGATTACTTGAGGGCAGGAATTCGAGACCAGCCTGGTCAACGTGGCAAACCCCCATCTCTACTAAAAATACAAAAATTAGCCGGGCGTGGTGGCACATGGCTGTAATTCCAGCTACTGAGGAGACTGAGGCAGGAGAATCTCGCTTGAACCCAGGAGGCAGAGGTGTCAGTGAACAGAGATCATGCCACTGCATTCCAGCCTGGGCAACAGAGCAAGATTCCATTTCAAAAAATAAAAAGTCAAAATAAAACATCAAGCAAAACCCAACAGAATTGAAAGAAGTAAACACATTCACGATAACAGTAGGAGATACCAGCATTCTTCTCAGTAATAGAACTAACGGACAGACGTTCAGCAAAATATAAATATCGATGCCGGCCACTAGACACAAGCACACTTACAGAACACCCCACCCCCCACGGCAGCTCAGAGATTATTAAATGCACACGGAACACACACCGAGATAAACCATATTGTGGTTCAAAAACAAAAAAAACCTTAGCAAATTTAAAACTATCAAAGTTGGCCAGGCACAGTGGCTCACGCCTATAATCCCAGCACTTTTGGAGGCCAAGGGGGGTGGGTCACCTAAGGTCAGG